GGAATAGGTTCTGAGGGCCACGTCCCCTGCACCCAGGTGGACAGTATTTGCTCCTCTGCCGCCAGGAGTTTCCAGCGCCACTCTCAAGAGATGTCTGTGAATACAGGGGCGTGCCACTCGAGGCTTGTCGAAAAACAACATGTACTTACTCCCCTGGAGCTGGTCACCGGGGTCCCCATGAACCGGGGCAAATCTCCTGAGATTTAATCCTCTCTGAGGAGCTGACCAGATAAGAGACTAAACTGTCCTAGCAAGAGTCACCACATCTGCCCAACCATTGAACCAGGAGGTCTCAGTTCCATTCCCCGGCAGGGCACATGCCCGGGGGTTGGGAGCTCGGATCCCCAGTAGGGGGCGTGCAGGAGGCAGCCGATGAATGATTCTCTCTCATCATTGTTGTTTCTGTCTCTCTCCCTCGCCCTTCCTCTCTGAAATCAATAAAAATGTATTTTCAAGTCACCACATCCAACACATGCCCTAGTGTGGATGGCACATAGGTGTGCCCCTGCCCAAACCTTGGCCGTCAAGGAGACCCTCCTGCAGTGGGCACCTCCCCTTCTTGGTGTTCCCAGCAGCCAGCCTGCTAGCTGCCAGGCTTGGCTCCCTCCTCTCACCAACTCCTGGCACCAAAGAATGTCAGAAGGCAGGCTGGCCCTGCCCCACCCTTGTCCTTTAGGGAGTTTTCCTCTCCGCTCCCTAGCACAGTCACTCCCTTCCAGTCTGCTGGTTCGTCCTCAGCCACCTGCCTAGGCTGCATCAGGGTTTGGGGTTGTGGAGGACCACTGACTACATGTACCTCCACACCCCCTCTGCACATGCAGGAGCGGGATGGGGGGCTCCCAGGGCCACTTGTATCTGCTCAGCCTCTTTCTATCTCCAGCTTGCCACCCCACCCATATTCAGAGCTGCCCCTGCCTGGGCAGCTATGTCCTCTGAAACAGAAATGACTCGCTCTGGTAATGTGTGGGTTTAGAATTAGGAATAACTTGAGAGATTATCCAGACCAGCCCTCTTATTCACAGTGAGAAAGCAGGGAACCCGAGAGGGGGTGATTTGCCCAGGACCACAGAGACAACCAATTCTACAATCCCTGGGCCCCTCCCTCTAGTCCAGTGGTTCTCAACCTTGTGGCCCTTTAAATACAGTTCCTCATGTTGTGACCCAACCATAAAATTATTTTCGTTGCTACTTCATAACTGTAATGTTGCTACTGTTAGGAATTGTAATGTAAATATCTGATATGCAGGATGGTCTTAGGCGACCCCTGTGAAAGGGTCTTTCTGCCGCCAAAGGGGTCGAGACCCACAGGTTGAGAACCTCTGCTAGTCCTTCCTTCTCCATCACAAAGCCAACGAGGGGGACCTGGTCATAGGCTGGTGGGGAGGGAGGGGGCGGGTTCAGGATTAGCTGTGTTTTTCTGAATTTATTGTTTAGTAGTATCGAGGTCCCTGTAGAGATGAAGTCCTCATCCCCTAGGAGCTGATGGAACAAAGGAACACTGCGATGCACTTGTGAAGCACTTTGTAGTCTGCAAGTTCAAGCCGTCGTTGTACAGCCAGAGCCGGAAGCATTATCCCCATTTTACTGATGGGCAGATGGGCAGGAAACTGGCTCCCAGAGAGGTTAAGTGACTTATCCAGGGTCATGGGCAGGATAGCGTCAGAACGCAGTTTGAAAGCAGATCTGGTTGGCTTCAGGTCCAGTGCACTCACCATCCCAACCTTCCATACCCAACCGAGTGGTAATGGAAGAAGGGTGGCAACAAGCTCTTAGACTTCTTTTAAGGGAACCTGTGGTGTAAGGGAACTGCTTGGATTGTTATGATGTCAGCACTTTCCTTTCTCTCTTGAGCGAAGGAATTTATAAACATGGAATTGGGAACCTGATGTGGGCCTTGGAAAGCAGGAGTTGAGGCCAGGGTGCCACCAGCACCTCCTGAACAGAGGATGCTGAGGAAGGTGGTCTAGCAGGGGTCCAGAGAGAAGAAGCCCACCTCAGTGGCAGTGGGATGATCGGGGCGGGGTAGGCATGTGGGGGTGCCTCTTCCCTGGCCCCCACTTTCATCCCTGTGGGACCCTCAGTGACTGCCTGCGCTGCCAGACCTCCCCCAAGCAGGGCCTACAGCCCAAGCAGCAATCGGTCTGTTCTTCAAATGCCCCCGGAACCCTAACTTCCCAGCTCTATTCCAGTTGTTTCTCCATTTCCTTCAGACCTCCCTGTCTACCCATCCCCCAAAAAAGGTTGCAAGGGAAAACATGTTACTGTGAGAGTGGTGAACTCTCAAGCTGTAAGGAGGGAACCAAGGCTAGGGTCAGGCCAGGAACCTGTCTTCCTGGTCTATTCCCCGCCCCTCCCCCCAAATCCTAAGCCTGCATTTAGAGGGCTCAGTACCTACCCCACACCTCCCTCTGCCCCTTTATTCACTGCCCTTCACCTCTTACCCACCCTCACTGATGGGACTAGCCAGGGACTTCTCTTTCCCAAGAAATGGTGCTGCCTTGGACCTAACGGAGGCTTCTTAGAAGCATAAGCAGAGAGACCCGGATGGAAATTCAGAGATTGGGCGTTAGTCCAGCTGTGTCCCCCACACACTTTGAAGTCTTGGGCAGGTCATTTTTGTGCTCCAGGCCTCAGTTTCCTCATCTGTAAAACTAGTGGGTTGGAGCAAATGGTCTCAAGCTCAATCTGTGAAACCAACCCCTTCCCCGCTGCCTGAAGCAAGAGGACTTTCCCACACAACCCCAAGTGGAGTCAGGCAGTGGGAGGTACTAAGAGTACTGTGGCTTGTCCTCAGAGCCGGGGACCTTTACCTTTGGGGCCTGCTTCTTACGTGTCTTTCCTGTTAACCTCGCAGTTCCCTCTGCTCCCCCTGCGTGGGGTCTTTCTGTTTGGGGTTCTCTGTTTCGCCCTCAGCCATTGTGGTAGTACAGGCTAGCGGTCGGAGCACCAGCTCTGGATTGGATTTACCCATCCCCAGATGGAGCTGGAGCCTGCCCCATGGGGGAGGGATGAAATAAGAGAATGTGTGTGATGCTCTTAGCACTCGAGGCAGAGTAAACTTCCTGTAGCTATTGTTGCTCACAGTGGAAAGTAGATCGAGGCTATGCAGAAGGTGGGAGCAATTTCCTAAAAAGTGTGGAAGAGCAGAGCACAGGTTAGCCCAGAGCACACTTCTGCCCGCCCAAGCGCCCGACTCCATTTCATGTGTGGCTATGCGTTTGAGAGGGTGGGGAGGTGGAGGGTGGGGGTGCCCCACTTCTGAAAATAAAACCGGAGGCAGAGACTCTGGGTCTGGGCAGGGTGTGGACTAGTGGGCGCGGGGATGGCAAAGCCCCTCCCAACCAACCTGCCGCTTTTCCCAGAAACTGTTGCCTTCGTTGTTGGGCTGAATCGGCTGCTGGGGCGGTGAAGTGAAATGGCTTCCTGAGTTTGGCACCCGGACAGCCCAGCTCTGGGAAAGCCGGCTGTGTTTGTACTGAGGCTGGCAGCTTTGGGGAGAGGTGAGGTGAGGCCAGGTGTCTGCATCTGCTAAAGAAAAGCAGACTTCTGCCCAGCCCAGGATCTTGATGGCTTCCCCCACTTTTTCACAATGCTTGTGAACAACAAAAGAATCTGACTCCTGATTTTTAGGGGGTTGGTGGGGAGGATTCCTCTACATATACACACTCTACCCCTTTCTTTCCCAAGTGGCCCACGGGCACCATTCCAGACCTTACTCTTTTGTACTCAAAGGAGGCGGCCGCTATTTAAGACCCGAATTTGGAGCTGCTTTGAGAGCAGCCCTGTTGAGGGCCACCCTTGCCAGAGCACCTATCTGCAGCGGACTCCTCTGCGGTCACAGACCACAGATCAGGCTTCTCACATCCTCCTGTGTGTGGATTGTGAGTCTTCCCT